CTGTAATATAATGCACACAACTTTGTTGGCACATATCTTATTTAATTAGACTATAATTATCATTAAATGATTGCAATTAATTAGTTTAAGTTTTGTAACCTTAAATCTAGACAAATGTAAATCTAGAAAAATTGGGTTTCATTAGCGGTCATGTGATTATTGGTTACATTAATTAAAATAACAAATTGTCAATTAAAACACGTTGTTTGCAGTCATTTAAATTAATTAAATACTTTTTCAATTATTTATAAACTTAATAATTAAAAAGATCTACGAAAATAACAAATATAGTATATACAAATGTAGCACAACGACAAGTTTATGTAATTGTTTCTAATTTAAATATCTATAAAAATAAGTTATTTAATTAATTAATAAATTTATTAAAAAATTATGCGACAGTTTTGTATTAATGTTATTTTATTGCAAATATATTTTTAAATTAAACTAGGTTAATTTAAAACATGTTATTTCTATTTATTAATGAGTGAAATAAAATTATAAAACACAAAAATAGAACTAAATGGGGTTCTGTCATATGTCACGAACCATTCCATAGAATATAATGGATTTCCCATAGAATATAATGGATTTCCCATAGAATATAATGGATTTCCCATAGAATATAATGGATTTCCCATAGAATATAATGGATTTCCCATAGACGAAGAAATTTCTCGTAATTTTTGAAAATTTCTCATTTTTGACAAAACTCTGTGATATGTTGTTTGAATTGACAACAACTCGAAGACAATTCAACATAATTTAATATAAATTTGAATTCAATTTGTAATATATTTGTCGATTTAAAAAATATTTTCGTGACATAACTTGTAGTGACACATCTTATTTAATACATTTTATATTTTATAAAATTTTCTAATAAATCATATATTAAATTATAATTGTTATAAAATAAAATAATTTTGATGAATATTATCGTTACAAAAAATAAAACATCAAAGAATTCATTAAGCTTAATTGTATTTCTAATAACATTTACATTTTACTAGCATTATAAACTTTACATTACTTTTAAGTTATAAAATATGTATTTATTTTGAACAATAATATATGAATTTTGAAATGCATTTTGAGAAATCATTTTAAATATTTGTTCAAATTATAATATTTTGTTCATAATTTAAATAAAAATACTTTTTATAGACAAACAGTATAATAATCAATGCATTTGTATTTCACTTAAAACCCATGCTTTACAATGAGTTACTTCACTCGCATTTACAGCACTTAAACTTAAATCAATTATAAAAACATTTTTAAGTAAATGTATTATAATTTACATACAATATTCTGGGAAACCATTTGACTTGTTTCGCATTAGCTGTCGGAAAAGTGTTTTTATCCCAAAATTAAAAAATTGAATTCAAATCTAGTAATAACTTAATAAAGTGCACACATTTTAAAATATTATTTCACAAATGCTTTTTTATTCAAAAATATAATAAATAAATAAATAAATTGTATATCTGATCATATAAGCAGTTAAGATACGGCCTCACTATACTTACTAAAAATTTAAGGATTCCTTACGATTTGTTAGTATAATTAAGTCTACGAAACATAATATATGGGGACAAACATACGTGAGTTTTACATCTTTTACATATGAAAATAAAAGTATCTAGATATTCCAGGTTAGGAGATTAATGTAATATTATTGGAATTAAGTAACATTGCCCTTAAAATAACCATAATTGATGCAAAATTGCATTTGTATTTTAATATAAATAATGCAATCTAGATGCATGGTATGCCTTATTGTAGTTTACGAAAGTGACCAGATTGAATTGTCAATCTAATAGCTGACATGAATAAGCATCCGAAACCGAAGAGGAACCCAACAATCAACTCTGCCTTAACTAATCATAAGCTGTCTTAAAAACATTCAGTATCTTATTTATAAAACAAATATCCCTTCACTTTCTCCATCTATGTCTTTGCAATTAAACGGTATTTTAAAACTGCTTCAGAATTTTGTATTTAATAGTTAAAAACGTTAAAAGTAATTAAAAGGATGATAATATATGGATTATTTGACGGGAAATCCTGATTCCCAAAATACAATTACATATTTCCACTCTATTTATATATTATGTATAAAATAACACTTCAAATACACTACAATTTTTGGGAACTTAATAACTATTTACTTAATCATAAACTATCAAATATCATACCTAATAATATAGTTAATCTAATTTGTAGACTATATTTATATTTAATAAATGTTTTGGTGGTTAACTTTACAGTATAAGTATAACACTTTGCGGGCAAACGAATATAATATCTCTTACTTTTTATTATAATTTTTTAACGTTTCGAACAAATGTTTTGTAAAAGTGTACTTTGAACATGTGTATTTCGATAAAATATATTTCGACCAAGTGTCTACTTTCCTTATGTGATTCTATGATCTTAACTTATGAATGAAAAATGAATTCAATATGCAATTAATGATTGTAATTAATATAATAATAATAAAGATTTAATTAGATAATATAATTTATATTTACTTTTTAGTCCGGTTGTAATTTCACACGCAATATTTAAAAACTGTAATAATGTACATTAAATTAAAATTTTATTATTTGTAATTTTACTCGAATTATAGGTTGGGTTAGACATCAGTTGTACGTATTTATTAATTTAAAAAAAAATAGTTATCATTATTATTCAAATTGAAAACATGTATTGAATTCATGTGTAAACCAAAAATATTAATCCGATTTGATATTTGATTCGTTTAATCTTAACGACGAAAATCATTTCATAGGCTTTTGTAAAAATGTTGGATTTAGAAAATGAAATGATTTTTTAAATTAGATTATAAATATCTCAAAATAATACAATTTTCCACGTATTATAAACTTTATATGTAACTTATTTAATTATTTAATTAAATCTTATTAAAACTACTAATGTTTGTAAAGTAATCAATGTAATTTTAAATAGTATTTAGTTTTGAAAAACAAGAATTTTATTTGTAAAATATTAATTAATACTTAATTTGTCAAATGTAAAACTTAATTAAAATCAATAAATTAATTAAAATTATTATAAATATTTTGTGTGTATAATAATAACTTTATAAAAGTTAATAAAATGGTGAAATTAATATTATATTTTAATAGTTCAAATATGAAGTAATTCGTGTTATATACTGTATAACTTATATTATTTTAGACACCAATTCAATTGAATTAATGTTGTATAAAATACTTATACAAACATTTAAAGATGTATTTATAAGACTGTATACAATATTAAACACTATAAACTAAAGTCGTTTGTAAGCATTATTCACAGAATTTCATCGTTAATAGTGTTTGGAATTGCGCTAAAAGAGGACATCTCTGTAACTATTTTAACCATCAGTTTGTTATATAGTGAGTGAAAACATAGGAATTGTATTCAACGTCAGAGAAATGAGAGAAATATCACGAATTGGTTGTAAAGACTGTTTAAAGCCGTGATATTTTGGATTTGCAGCTAATTTAATAACTTTAAATTTTATAAATCAATATTATTATGTGCTTTATATTTAATATAACAATAATACATGTACATTTACTGTATTAAATTTATATATTTAGTTGCACTGTACAGTATATGTTTAATAAGATGGTATTAATTAATATTATACTTTAATTATTAATACCATTAATATCGTTGGTAAGTTTTATTATCAATATTAAAAACTCATAACACATTAAATTTTAATGAATTAAATGTTCAAAAGAAAGTAATCAACAATTAAAAAATCTGTTTATTTAATTAGTATAACTCTTTACAAAATACAATTTAATACAAGACTTAGTTTTTAAGGTATTTATTTCTATTAATGACAAAAACGGATGACATTATAAATCTATTAAATATTAAGGAAACAAATATTTTTAGTACATATTGTACTGAATATACAGTATTTATATATATGTCGTGATTTTTTCTAGAGCTTAACGTTGTCTAGCATTAGGTTTCATCTCATAAACCAAAATCAATGCTCAATTCGCACCACTCATCAGATAATGAATTAAAAAATTTATTTATCGGTTTTGATGAACAGACAGATAAACATTGATATCATTTGGAAAACAAATTATTTATATATAAGTTTTTTTAGTTTTGTATTTTTTATTTATTGTTATTATTATGTGAGGAATTAATTCTAGATGATATAGAATTTGGCAGTTTTTATACAAATAACTATTAATATAATAATTACATATAAATTCTTTACAGCAAATATTTCTCTTTCTTTTTACTACAAATAAGTAAAAAATTCTTTGAATTCTGCGAATATTCAAAGTGTTATATCTATTTGTCTTTTAAAATAATTATTTACAATAATATAACGATTAAAATTAAACAAATTAAATGTGAAAACACTTCAACAACACTAAAAATTTGTTAAATATTTTAAACATATGTTTATACAAAAAAAAGTGCATTTAATTTAAAGAAAATAAAACATTAGACTAGAAATTGGATTGAAAAACATCTCATTTAAAATTGAATTTTGTACTTTTCTAACCATAATTAAAATGTGTTGTTTTCATCAACAAATCAAATACAATACAAGTAACTAACAAATTAACTTAAGAGCGATACCCTGTCGTAAAAATAAAACAATTGTTGTGGTAATAAATGTTTGTCTAAATAATCTCTCCCTATCTCTTGTAAGTGGAAGATTGTTTCCAATGGATTATCATTACATCTATGATAATATTATTATCCATTTGTATACTATATTCAAATGAGTTGTGCGAATCAATTCTCATTCCTATCCTTATATCATAATATATGCCAACAATTGTTTTTAATAAATGTTTATATTTAAAATATTATTTCCTTAATTAACAATTAAACTCGTAATATATTAACTGTTTCTTCAAAAATCAGTATTCAATCACATTTTATGTCAAAGAGAGTTAGAGATAAAATCTAACTCCCATTACATGTATTATTTTCAATCAGTTTAATGGCTGAATGTCTTACAAAAATTATTATTAGTCTTCAAAAGATTTATTATTATTATTATTAAAAGTGAGCACAAAATGTCTTTGAATGAGATTATAGATTATGTAAAAGAGGACTAGAAATCCATAATTTAGTGTTGAATATAAGTTGATTTTGAAATCTAGTCGTTGATTGGATTCATAAACTTTGGTTACTATTGTTGTTGTTCTTTAGAGAGGATTGGCTTCGGATTGTCTTTAGTGTTGGATTCGCTCAACTCTTTCCAGTAATGATAATTTGTTTGCAAATTTTCGGTAATTTCCGGGAAATCTCCAAAAGCTTTTAAAATTAGAAAATAAATCATTTGAAAGGATCAGTAAAAACACAAATAAAGTAATGGATGTGAAAATGGCTTACAATCCCAGGCGTCAAACATATCATTGGCGAAGTAATCAATGAAACCTATTTGAGATTTAGGTATAGAGCAGGTCATCCGATCAAATGTTGGCATCACTACTGGTAGGCCCTCCTTCTTCTCCTCATCAGTCTATTCATCAATTTATGACAACAAATAGAGACATTAAAATCGATTAAATGTTTATTCAGTGCATTAGAAACATTTCTATATAGAAAAATGTATTCACAAATCAATTATTAAAGTTGTTATTATTTTCTAAAGACTAAAAGTGTTTACTTAATGCAAAAATATGATGAAAATATTTTAAACCAAAGAATCGTTAGAAATACGTGCTTTGAATTCATTGAGAATAATCACAACTAAAATGTCAAAACAGTATTTACTTTTAAAAATATAAATATAATTAAAATCTACAAAAGAGACGCTGTTTTGTTAGAATTCAAACAAATTTTATTATAAGAATTTCTTAAAATATTAAACAGAATTTTGATATTATATGGGAAGCAATGGGTTTTAAATCTAAAAACAAAAACACACGACAAATGTTACGATAATTTGTTTAGATATTTGTCTAATAATGAAAATAATCAAAACCTAAAAACAAGAGTACTTTTCGTTTCAATTCATTCACAGTATATTAGTTTTGAACCGAAATGACTGGTCTTTCAAATGTGTTGTCTCAACAAAATTGATTGATTGAATATAACAAAAGTGATTGAATCGGAAGTAATTGTTTGCTTCAAAATTGACTTTTCTCTAGTTTTTAGGCATTCGTTAACAAACAACACAATGGCTTTGCTCTGAAGCGCGACATTCACTATAAGTTTGGACGTAAACACACGACTAGTCTATAAAATTCATTGATTGTATCTTTTCTACGTGATAAATGAGCCATATTTCAGACTTACCGACACTAATCACCAATTTAATTAATTTTCATATTATATTAGTAATTAAAATAAAATCTAAATGTTAATATAAAGTAATAAAAAATAAGTGTAAAATTTTAACATTTAAATGTGCTTGGTAATGGTAATGATCATATTTAATGAATTCCATTACATGTTAAATCAGGGCTTAATATCTGTTAAGTGTTGTATTAATGTTTCATTTAATGGTTGTTTTTAAACACAAGAAGAAGAAAAATAAGTGCAGAAGTAGAGCACGAGTTGAGTAAATGCTGACCATTGAAACAAAATCGATATTTTATCATATGGTTTGGGAACAGCTTATTATAAGCCATCAAATCAATAGTTGCGATAGAGTTAGTGATAATCAGGAAATGTGTGGTGAATACGATTGAATACATTTTCAATGCGAGTGTAAGGCATACCTGATTGCAGTACTCGTCGGCAATCCTTTGCGCCCAAACCTGACACAGTTTGAGAGGTCGGGCGGGGTTTGAAACATCCGCGCACTTAATGAGCATTCTTTTGATGAGCACAATGTTTTCGGGCGTCGAAAATGTGATCATATTTGGCGATTCCGGCACTGTTTCCAAGTGGTTATCGTTAGGGCCCGCGTTGCCAATCATGCTCTCATCCATTGCCACTGATTTTTGAAATACATGTATGAATTTAGAGATGTGCTCAAAATGTTTGGTCATTTCTGTGGCCAAAACCATATCAATGATGGATTGGCGGACGTCTCGATATGTGTCGCGGTCTAAGTTTTTGAATATATTGATTGGATCTGAATTGGGACCGACTGTCAGATGAAAGGCATGCGCCGCGTGATGGCTCTCCAACACTGATCTGCAAATCAACCAAAAACAATGGCATTTAATTTCCGCTCATTTAAAGCAAAGCATTGTTTGCTTTGAAACTAACATATCGTTATAGAGAATTGCCATTTCATGGTTCGAGTTGCAGAGAAATGCACTATTTTTACCAGGGTGATCCACGTCGTGCACAATGGCCGCTATCAAACAGATGGCCTCATCCAACGGATCCAACACCGCTTTTAATCGGGGTTTGCGTATGAAATAAGCGGTCGCTTGCATGACATCCGCGGCGTGTGTGGAGTTGTGGTACGGATTGTCGCGATAATTAGCCTCAATAACTGTCAGCCAATTCCTAAGAGTCGATTCATCACATTTCAAAGTCGCGCACACATTGAAACTCGAGAGCACTGATAATCCCAACCATACCAATGGGCTGATCGTGTAAATGGGATTTGCATTAATTATACAGACAAAGTGGACAAACAAATCGTTTGTTTTCTATATAACAAGTAAATACCGTCTTTGGGACACTTTCTCCAATTCAATGATATCGAAACCCCAGTCATAGTCGCTGTCCAATAAATTTTTGATATTATTGGGAGCGTTTGGCAAACTGGGCAGTTGTGTTGGTGTCTGTGGTGTAACGCCAACACTGCTCTTATTAGAGGCCGCCTCGTGTGACATACGTCTCACTCCCGACTGTTTGGTTCCGCTCTGATATGCGGGCAAAGAATGTATGAGATATTGTGTGACAAACACCGCATTGATTGCATATATGGGTCTAAATGTGTGCTCACATGCATGAGACCAGAGACGAGATCATTGGCCGTTTGGTCATCTGTTTTCGTTTGTTGGTTCGGGAATTGCGGACAATAGAGTTCAGAGTTCTTCAGGATCTCTAATACTTTGTCCAACGCTTGGGCCACAAACACAGGACTGTTCTCCTGAGTTGCCATCAGTATATTGATTACCTTTGGGTTCAAAAACATTTGCAATTTATTATTTCACAAACTCTTACAACTGTTAGTTCTTTAGAGCATTAATAAAAAAGGAAATGAAAAAATATTTTTTTGTTTGTCTTTTTTCTAACTGTAAGAAACGATAACTATAACTATAACTGTATATAAATAACTATTATATATAAATGAAATGCAACATAACTCAAGCTCTTAATACATTTAATATCGCTCTCCTTCTCTATCCAAAATGTATTATATTTGTCGCAAATTGTATAGAAATATGTGTAACAGAATTGTAGGAAAAGTTGTGTGTTTTATATATTGATGCATACAATTGATGCATACCTTAGTAATGGGCGCTTCAATAGTCATGGCATGAAATTTAGCGAAACTCTGTCTCCGACCCAAACCAACTGATATATACCATTGACAGCACCGGCGGATAAAAGCCATTAAAAATATGAATAATATAAAATAGATTGCACTCACCTTCAGAGCACAGGGATTTCACATCACACGACGCCTTCCTATTGCTTTTTATGGAGCCATAAGTGAAAGGAAGTACATCTAAACATGTAGTAAATGTATTGCCATTAATTTTACCACAAAGAGTCCACTCATTTGGGCTTATTTTTGCTCAATTTATTATTGACTTGTGTTTCACTACTATTAACTTTGCGAACATTTATATCATGTTCATAATCTAGAACATGATATACTCATACAAATGAATTTTACAATTAAATTAACGGTAAAAACGTGTCGTATGATAAATATGGTGAGTAATAGATAATGTGAACGCATAAAATATACCCTGGTCAAATTATACAACTGTACTATATTTGATATGAAATATCTAACAAAAGGTAAAACTCTATTTAATTTACAAAAAAATCATTTTGATGAATATTTAGCATTAATATAAAATGTAAAACAAAAGGTAATAGTTTAAAGAAATGATGCAAACAATTAAGTTTAAAGTATGCATTAAAGGGGTGATTGCTTACCGCCGTCCGGACTAAACATCTTCTCGAGTGAATAATATGGAAATTCTTTAATAAACACTAAATGTTCGGCAATTCTGTAAGAAATAATATTATGTTTGAATATTTTCCGGTTTTTATCAAATATTTCATTTTAATTTCAGTTTAAATTTCGTGGCGTAAATGATAAATTGATAATTTAATTTACAAATGGCTTATTTTTAATATCTATTTATACGATAAATAAACATATATTTATTTTTAATTACACTTTCAAATAGCTTTTTCTCGACGATCGTATCATTTGCTGATTGAATGTTTTTGAGGGATAGAGAGATGGTATAAATGATAGACTAATGTATTTTTTATATGAGTTTCGATGTAAATATTTGTTAATAAAAATTCCTGATCTCAGAAATGGGATCAATGAATATAAATATGAAATTTTAAATTCCAGTTTAATCTCGTATGAAAAACCCAATGCCTTTTGATTTACCATTTTATTGATTTTAAATGTAAAGAAATGTTTTTTTCGAGCATTCATTAACTAAACGATTGATGAATTAGATGTCATTCAGGAATTTAAAGCTAAGTTTAATGTAAAGGATGTAAACGAATGGTTGACTAAATTAGTGAATAGGGAAAGGTATGCATTGGTATGCATTGCCACCAGAAAAAAGTCTGTCAAATGAATGAATGCCTTTTAGTGATCAACATATTTGATGGCATTTCGAGTATGACTTCCTCTCATAACTCATTTTATTTTAGAAAAATAGATATATTTTGCGGAAAAAATCTATATATTATATGAAGAATTGAAGAGAATTTTAAACTGAATTTAGATCAGAAAATAACACAAAATATATTAAAGAATATATTTTCGTTCGTGAAAACAATGATAGAAAAAGTCGTTATATTATTGTTATTGTTTGACTTTTAAAAGCAAATGTTTTATTGATAAGAGTCTAATGTATTTTTAATCTTTAAATAACATTTGAAAATGTCTGCAAAAGTTATGTCAGAAAACATTACACAGTTTATTATTCTTGAAAAATAATTGGATTCTGTTTTAGACATAAACATAAAATATAAGAATAATAATTTGCTTTTTAAAAACTAAAATATTTAATTAAAAACATAGTTTTATAAATGTTAATAAAATGAAAATAATGTTTAAATTTTATACCCATTATGCACTTCAATCGGCGATATTTTGCTCCACAGAGGTATGCATTCACCAGATTTTCTCCTATGAAGTATAGTTCCCTCCCATTCCTTCAATGTTACAAAAAAATAAGTAATCATTAGTTTAGTAATCATTAAAGATGTTTGCGTTGTGTTATTGTATGTCAGGATATTTGATGCCATATGTAATGACATACCTTTCCTTTATTCATATGCATATTAATGCTGTCAACGATATCTGTTTTAAATGAATCGCTTCGATGCAAATCGTATGCATTTTTGCCGATCATCTCTTCGTATCGGAAGCCCAACAACTTCTCAATGGATTGATTCACGTATTGTATGTCATGATTAGGACCGGTAACTATCACACCGTCTTTACAGGAGTCCAGTGCAGTGAATAAGGCATGACTTGCTTTTAATTTACATTGGATTGCGATATCGTTATGTTCTAATTGGACCAATTCATTGAGACAAACGCCTAAATTACACGACTCCAACAGCCACTAAATTGACATAGGGCACATCAGCACAAAACCAATTGTTATTAAAATACTATAGATTTAATCAATATAACTAAAAATTTTAAGCTTTTTATTAAACAATATTCCAGTGATATTTCCAAATACACAACATATACTGTATTAAACCGTATTGACTACAGTACTTAATATTGTATTATAACTGTACTAGGTTCAGTTTTTATATTGGCTTTAAATATATTAATAATCATATAATATGTAATTTATTTATTATAATACTACAGTATCTAGTATATACGATACAGCTATATGTGAAGGTGTAATTGGACGATAACGATAAAATATGCGATTTTGTAATAAGTATTTATAAGGCATATATAACTCACTCGATTGAATCCAGTCCTCAGGAGAGAGAGAACGCCGGCCTCTTCTTTCTCGGCTAAAATAACTATCACACCGTCTTTACAGGAGTCCAGTGCAGTGAATAAGGCATGACTTGCTTTTAATTTACATTGGATTGCGATATCGTTATGTTCTAATTGGACCAATTCATTGAGACAAACGCCTAAATTGCACGACTCCAACAGCCACTAAATTGACATAGGGCACATCAACACAAAACCAATTGTTATTAAAATACTATATATTTAATAAATATAACTAAAAATTAAGCTTTTTATTAAACAATATTCCGGTTATATTTCCAAATACACAACATATACTATATTAAACCGTATTGACTACAGTACTTTATTATAACTGTACTAGGTTCAGTTTTTATATTGGCTTTAAATATATTAATAATCATATAATATGTAATTTATTTATTATAATACTACAGTATATAGTAAATACGATACAGCTATATGTGAACGTGTAATTGGACGATAACGATAAAATATGCGATTTTGTAATAAGTATTTATAAGGCATATATAACTCACTCGATTGAATCCAGTCCTCAGGAGAGAGAGAACGCCGGCCTCTTCTTTCTCGGCTAAACTTTTTTTAACAACAGCTATAATACATGTGTATTCACTTCCCTTAATATTTCTTATGGACCTAAGAGTATACGCGAGGAGAAAATGGGAATATTTGATGAGCAAAGAGATTGAAAAACAAGCCTAAGCTATCATTTTAGGGCAACAAAAAAAACAAAAATAAATAATTAAACTCTTTCTGGAGCTGTAAAATAATTGACATTTGCTTTTGTATAATAATATATTGATATTTACTACATTTATCATCGTTTACTTCACATTTAAATTATTGTGCAATACATTGAAATGATATGATTAAACAATAAACATTTACATATAGATTATTTAATGATAATCAAAGATTGATTAATGTCAAAATTAGTTTGTGTAGATAAACACTTAATACAACTTTATGATTTGGTCAAAATTATAACCATGTTCATTTTATAAGAAAATTTTCCAAGTATTAAAAATAAATTACCATCAATAAAGAAGTGAAAAAGAAATTTTCTTTGAAAATAATTAATAATGGAAATTGAAATATAATACGATTTATTGATTTTATATTAACATTAAGGCGATCAAGCATTTTATTAATAAAAATTATGCATTAAAGAGTGTTGTTATGACAAATTTTGTATAACATAACCTGATTTTCATCTAATATTGCAAACATTTGGAAAAAATCATATTTAAATTTGAAAAACACAAAATCGTTAAAATAAACATTTCTGACTATTTTATCACTGATTGAAAGACAAGAGATGTTCAAGAGATGGGATTACATGTGATTCAATATAATTCGCATCAATTCATCTCTCTATTTATTATATGACTTCTTATTGAATTAATCCAAGCGTTGAGACAAATAGTGTATCTCTTGTTTGACAAACTTATCTTCAATACAAATCCTATTCAATGGTGTATTAAATTCACCAATTTTGTGCTCATCCGCTATACACTTATATCATATTCTTTTTACCAAAAATTCTGATATTTCATTATTTCAATACTTTATTATTTAAAATTCTATTCAATTGTAGACATTAGAGACAGTTTTCGGTCGTTTGAATTAAATAGTCATCTACTGTACAGTAAATACAGTATATATTATACATGTTATACTAGTATTCACGGATATTTATGTGCAGTTATGTTTAATAAAATTAGTGTATACAGTAATAATAACCAAAAATATTCAACATTTTAGATGTATAGAAATTCTGTGTATTAATAATAATAAAGAAATAGCGCAAAAATAGCAAATAACTCTACGATTCTGACCTTAATATAATATATAGGGATCTCATACACAGCCCTATAGATGACACTTAATATATAGATAAAGTTTAATACAATCTCACGTATAATATACTTATATATTGAGAGACGATATTTGGGAAAGTAATCCAATTTTAAGGATGAGCTGCGATGCCTAAGTTTGCGATGATTTCAAATCTATTATTATTAATATATTAATGTATAAAATATTATAGCAATAAATAAATGGGTTTAAAGAATTGTTAAAATACGAGTTGAGATACGAAATCGAGTTTCTTTTT